TTCGAGGCTCTAGGTTTCAGCCTGCCTAGCCTATTGGTAAATCCAGCCCTGGTGATGGTCCCTACAGCAAATTTCTGGCCCTAATCACTCAGCAGATTGAAATAAATGGTTTCCAGCATTTATTAGCAAAGATAGATATTTTAATTAAACATATAGTTCAACTTAAAGCCTGTATAATGATATTATAAATATATGTCCCATTATTAGTGCATTGTGAGAAGGCTTTCCACACTATCAAATCTATTTGGTTTCAGCGTCTTCCAATGTCTCAGATGGAAACTTCAGTCTTCATTTTGCATATTCTTTTCATTAATGCCATCAGCATTTGAAGCTTGACTGATTCCAATGTACCTTTTCCATTGTTGTTCAATGTAATATACTAAACGTGGCTTCAAATTTTTTTCTCACTTCAATTATCACATGTTTGAATACCCGAGATAACTTCTACTGATTTGTTATTAATTTACAATTTTTTTTTTATAAATTAACTGTCGTACTTGTTAAGTCCACTAAGTGAAAATCTACAAAAAAACCAGTGGTTCAATATTGGACTACATTTTTAACAGAATCCAAAAATATTCCGTAATTTAGTCGACCCTTCATCCAAGGAGTTTTTGTTAAATTGTTCAAACATCTTATTTAACTGTTAATCTTGATAGCGAACATGGGGGGCAGGGGGGGAGCTGACTGTGATTGTCGCATCGCTCCCCGGTCTATACCGAATAATTGTGTGTTTTGTATATAATTTTTATTGATTCAATGCTTGTATTCGGGTTAAATCTCTCTCTCGTATTCGGTCATGTTTTTTTAACCTAGTTAGAAGGCCGATATTGTACCATTATAAGTTGGAGATATTCATCTTTTTTGTGTATACCAGTACCGTACAACTTATCCTGCCTATTGGCAGGCTGGCTAACATTTTTGTTCGTAGGCCTATTTCAGTATTTACTAAATAATTTAGTTTTCACCTCTTGCAGCCTTGGTACGGTACCGGTAGTTTAAATAACACGTCAGCATGCCTTCAATAAGTGATTGCTGGTTGTACAGGTATAAATGCGTAAAACCAGTAAACAAACGTGATAGAAATGGTATGGGTTATAGATTGTCAATGTTAAACGCTTCCAGTACCGGTACCGTACCCAAAGCGACATTAGCGCCGCATTTGCAGCGCATATCCCACGGAGCACGGCGCGTTGGCAGAATATCAGGGTCTAGTGAGAAAGACGTCATCGGAAACACGCGCTCATTAAAATTTTAATGAACGATTATCAAAAATCTTGACCATGTTTATCATGATAAAAAAAGATGTAAAAAATATTCTATTCTCAAAATTGCTCACGTATACAATGAAAGATATCTAGAAAATTACAAAAAATGCAAATTTCTGCTCTGGTGATCACATTCCACATAAATCCTAATGTTAAAATTGTTTTTTTTACATCACTTTTCTTTTTGCGCGTAGGATGGGTTTTTAATGAATAAGGTCTATTGGATAAATTAAGCAAAGCTGCAATTGATTTAACTTTATATTTGATATATCAGTACTTTAGCTGCTTATAGATAATGGGTAGCCATATCTGCGCAGCACCTTGTCAATAACCATTGCTTAGGAAGCGCATAAATTTTACACTGAAATAATACGGCTTCTCAATTTATCAGGAAAGGTAATCAACCAAATGGTGGGACTGGTGAAAATTGTCTGACAGTCGGTAGAGAAACGTATGAGTGGGTTGATACATCTTGTGATGGAAACTTCTACTACATTTGCCAGAAAGGTAATATTCAGTTGTTGTTTTTTAATTAGGAAAAAATGGTTCCATTACATTTGAACCCACGACAATTGCACCTGCATGCCATTGCACCTATGGAAATTTTTTTGGTTTTACGGATATTTGTACCCATACTAACCTAACCCATGGGTTTTAGCACCCGCATATTGATTGAACCCGCGGATATACACTTGGGTTCAAATGTACATGGGTTCAAATGTACGGTCACCGAAAAAAATGTATCATTAATATTTTTCATTCGATGACATTAATTAGATGGCTATGGTTTTAGAACGGAATTGTGCGACTCGTCCTCATGTTCATATTTTCATGGATTTTCTAGCTTTGTCATTAATTTGTACCAGTGGTCTGAATATGCAAGGATTGCTCAATTGAAGGTAAAGGGACGTATCAAGTCGCATAGGTTTTATCTAAAGAAACAATAGAGCAAAACTCAAATATATGTACTCGAAAGTCAAACCGTAATATTATACCAACAATTCCACAGAAAATCATACGATACTCTGAACGAAGCTTGAACTGTGAAAAAACTATAGAACCCAGAACACTACAATAACAGTACCCGCACTGCCCTCAGCACAACTCAAATATATCAACTTCCTGTTCAAAAAGCTATCACGCAAATAATGGTTTAAGATAGATATGAATTGAACTAGATTGTCAAATTAGGAATATTCAATTGTAACTGTTCAATACAGATCACATGTACAAGTATTACGATACAAGTATTGTTTTTCGGTGCCACTGAATGCATGTAATAGAATTATTGCGCTTCTATCACTTAATTAAAATGTGTTACAAACAAAGTTGCACTAACAGTTGTATATCAAAAATATTTTTTTATTTGCTTAAAATATAATCAAGGTATTTTCAATGTTCAGTGTTTCTGCTTTCATGAACCAAAGTAATCAACCTAGTTTTTCTTATACTAAACCAATTTATGTTATTTACGGCTTCAAATTTCACAAATTCTGCTTCAGTGTTTCCAGGCCCGTTCGTTAGAATACAAACCATCAACTTGAACCAGAGAATGTGTTCTGCAACAGACTGCAGCATTGCAACACAATTTGAGTGGTACAAAGCATCTGGCAAAGTATCAACCGCAACTACAAGTGGAGTTTATCAAACGATACAAAATGGATCAGCAACATTGGATCTTCAAAACGCAAATATTGCAGATGCGGGTTCCTATAGTTGTCGTTATCGAATTGGCCAAATCTGGAATACATACATATATTATGAAGGTGTATATAAATACCAATATCTAATTAATTTTGTAACCTCTGTCAGCTAATCTTCTGGTATTTACTTTTCCAGTGGCTGGAAATCCCACAATCCATCAAACATTAAATAACACCTGCAATACCAACTTGATCATCTTATGGCAACCACATATAAATGCTGTTGGATTTCCACACAAGTGAGTTTATCTCTGTGGATATTTAGGAATAAATTACAAGATGTTGTTTATGCGTCATCTTTCACTCCGATCATGCCTCTAGAGCAGGGGTGGGCAAGGTTTTTGGAGCAGGGACCAAAAAGTGTGCCCACCTAGACTGGCGGGTCATGTAAGTGTGACGTAAAGGATTTTTGTTGTGGCGGAGAATATTGTATTATTTTGAAACATCAACTTTTTTTGGCACAATGCGGTTAATCTAACTTTGTTAAGATATCATTATAGGAACATTAACAAAAGGATGTAGGCACTAAATTGAACTCGGGGCTGCGCGTGACCAGATTGAAACACCTAACGGGCCGAATTTGAGCTGGATTGGTAAACACCAACTGGTAAATCTACCATGCTGGTTCACAATTATTTATATTCATATCTCTTGTTACTAGCATTAATGTCACTGTCAACACACATCTGTTAACAGAGTAGAAGTAAGTCCGACCGCAGGTGGATCAACAAGATGGGTGGATCTGGATTCACCAACATCTGAGAAACAAGCAATCACGATAACCAGTCTGTTGCCTGTCACAACCTATACAATCAAAGTAAGAAATAATGGTTTAATATCATATTATTCACACCTGAATGTTTCCGCACCTAATTTATGCGACTATTTTTGCCAAAAATACCCACCTTTCAGAATCACCCTCACATTCAAAGCTTTCTGTGTATTCTGTCCCACCTATACGTTGCGATATTGAAATGATCATATGAATTACTTTTGTCAGATAACTGCATGTGTAACAAAAGATAATTGCCCAGTTAAATATGCAACCACCCAAACAGCAAAAACAGGGGGAGCAACATTATCTGCTGAATCGTCGTTCATCACACAGATCGAGAAGAATCAAACTTGTGTCATTGCTTGGTCATTTCCAAACAATACTGAAACTGGGAACACTTATACCGTGGTATGTCCATATTTGCATTGTTGACAAAAATTATATGGAACACATGTTTTTTACTAACTTTGACTGACGTTATGTCATTATGTGTTAGAAACCATACGTGCATCATCAAGTAGACACTGTGTGCCATGAAGTTTGACTGTTTATACGGCACTCCATCACTTAGGATCGTATATCTGTTTTGGTCGGTTGATATAAATCGCAGATATTTATAATTAATATTTTATATCCAATTCATATTCCAATTATCCGGAGGATTTGGTTCCTTACGTTATCTTCAATAACTTATTTGGCACCAATGCTCAGGAAATTTTTAGTGAAAAAAAAACTTGATTATTTCTGATGGAATTTTCTTTCTGATGAAATATAGGAACTGAATTTAGCTTCAACCCTGGCTTCATCACGAGATTCAAACTTGAAGACAGACATGAAACTAATAAATGTGACGTCATCCACTTCGTTATCATTTCAACCAGAACCAAATCGTAACTATTACGCTTCGATCAAAATATTCAATTGTGCTGGACTTGGTCAGGAATTAGCTGTTATTGGCACATGTCTAGGAAAACCTACAGGTATATTGAGAAGTAAATATTTGTCAATCAATTTTGCAATCACCAATCTACTTAACAACTCTATTCAACAAGATATGTAAAGAAGCGTAATTTGTTTCGCAGTGAAATCGTATAAATGTTCAAATTTCATTGATTATTGGACACCTTTGCAGAGGCCTGTTTGAAGCGAAAGTGTGACGCATAAGTTGATAACGCAAAAATCATTGATATTGTAAGCACGTTTGTCAAAATTCATTTTAGTAAACACTTTCTCGTATTTTAGCTCCTGCAAAGGTTTTCCCGCCCGAAAGTTTTGAAGATAACCTAATCAACAGTGCGTGCGGCATAACAAAAATGGCAATACAGGCACCGGATGAGACTAATGGCCTTGTCAGGTAAACTAAATGCAACACAGAAGAAAATAATATATCGATAATTACAAAGTTTGTACGTCTGTTTCTCTATGATTGATGGTTAGCCTGAAAATAAAATCCACTGAGCATGTTCATATATCATATTAGGTATATTATGAATCTGTCTCACCAATATAGTCACTTTGCTTACTAGATACAAAAGTTCTGATTAATTCTGATAATAATCATTCCACAATATGGAGTTCATTCCTCAACAAATAATGATATCGGTACAACTTTTAATATTGTACAATTTATTAATCTACAGTTGCATATTTGTACTTGTACGCACAAATTTGAAGGAACTTGATGACGACTTTTCTTTGACTGACATGATAAATATTAACAACACAGTGAGCGGAGATGAATACATTGCTAAAGCAATACCTGTGTCAAGGTTGTAAATAGTATTATCTAGATGAATATTTTACGTAATTATTTAGTTGGATGTTTTCAGTTGAACAAAATTTATAAAAAAAAACATATGAATCATAATGATTGAAATTCTATTCGCGATATTAAAATTGATAAACCCGGTGAAAGTTTCATTCACAAGCGGTACCTTGTGTTTCATTTGCTATCCTCGATGGCTGATTCAACGAAAAGGAAATTCACTTTTGATAAAATTCCCTGGTTGATGTGATTATATGTCTAGATAATGGATGTATTATGTAATATATAAGGACACAACAGCAATAGAGCGGTATAAATTTACAACATTTTTCACTTCGATTTTTTCTAACCACCATTAAGAAACGCATTGTACTACCATTACTTTTTGGCTATATTAAAGGCATACAAAGTACATACAACAAGATACTACAATACTGCATATGTGCAAACTACCCATTCATGTATTTTGAATTCATGTATAATACTATATTGAGAGTTTCAATATGTATATACTTGCATGCGCAACGTATTTTTCTATTGTTTCGAGTAGCAGCGGTAATTCTTGAATAACAGACCATATTCTAATCCCATTGAATATTATAGCATGAATGGGAAGCGAATGAATGTTACACTCGGTGAAGAATCAATGACAACATGTGATGTAATGAATACAGGAAAAGCTGGGATACAAAAGGAACAATCCTCTGAAAAAGAAATTTTATTTGCGGGAAGAAATAGGAAATTAAATAAAGAGAAATTCAGGTTTTTTTCATATCCTATAATTATCAAACACTTCTAATTGGAAGTTTTGGTATTATTAAAATGCTATTTCGAAACTGACGAGCAGCAAAGATATATTTTAACGGCAAATGAGATAGATTTAATCATTTTGTAGTTCTATCAAATAAAACTTGATATCTGCTTCATTTCTTTTGTTGAGTGAAATTCATTTTATTAATTCAAAATTAAACATATATTGCTTCAGTGTCTCGATAGTTTATTCCGCACCCTCTGGTGAACAAATACATGTCAAGCAGAGCCCTCCAATGACGCTGAAAGTTCAGCAAGAAACAACTGCTGAAAACGATGCTGGTAAGAATAATAAATATTCAGATTTGATTTACTCAAAGCCAGATTACGAAAAAATAGCAAACTTTAAACAACATTAAAAATAAACTGTTATGCGATTTCTAAAAAAAGCTTCACACAAAATGTTTTCAAAGATAAAGTTTTCTATTGTCGTGAACTTATTATACTATCTAAATAATTTTGGACATGCTCAAGTTTTACAATCGTGATTATAATTAAACTATAATCTCAAAAGTTCTGAATATCAACTGGAAACCAGAGTAACGTATTTGTTTTAGAGAAAGGAGCGTTCGAGTTCAACATCATCAGTTTTGTGATTGGATTTCTTATTCCCTTCGTCTTCTTGGTCGTCTCTGCCTGGATCATATACAAACTGAGGAAGAAAATAAAGAATTTGGAGGAAAACGCAGGAGTGAAAGAACACAATTACGAAACTATTAAAAAAAAAGGTAGCGAGAATTAATGCACTACTGATGTAGAAAATGTTATTTCCGTACGAATCTAAGAGTTTCACGAGCGTTTTTTATAGCAAATAAGTACGTTTATCATCGTGTGTTCAATTTTTTGTCATTTAAAGGGTATGAATACTACAGAATACGGCCACAATTAAAATTGTAACTTCACTTCAATGATATATACTTGCAATCTACGTTTATAGGATAGAAAACGTTTATCAAGCAAAACTAATATAATTTGTATAACTCGAGGATTTATAAAACTGGAATAGCACCGGAAATATTTGCCACAAAAAAATGAAATTAACGCTCTCCAGACGTAACGCTCATTAGATTGCCGAAAAAATGAAAAAAATTGTTCTTTGAACATACTTACTCTATGGGGTAATATAAGAATCAGGAATTTGAATCAAGAAAGTATTATTCTTAATCAAGAGTACCACAGGTTTACATAGATTTGATTTCTATCTAGATCATAAGTTTAAATTGATTTTTAATTCTTCTGTGGTTGCTAATTACATTCTTCCAATTAATCAGAAACTCCTTCAAACAACCCAGTATCACAACCATCATATTCAAATGTGCTGCAAGAAACTGTTGGTTACGCACAAGTTCTTCCTGCGACAACTAATCAAACACAAGTGGAGTCAGCTTACGAACAACCATCATCATCAAATGTCCTGCAAGAAACTGTCGGTTACGAACAAGCTCTTCCTGCGACAACTGAGCAAACACAAGTGGAGTCAGCTTACGAAACTTACAACGCCTGATAAATTTCAGCTAAGCATTAGCAATTGGCATAATACAAAATATAAAAATATTTATATTTTTTTTTAATAAAACAATAGGTAAACTTGTTATATACAATGTCGTTGATGTTAAAGCAGCAAGTCAAGTCGGTGTCGATGGTTTCAAATCTACATATTACAGTCAGTGCAACCATCAGTCTTTATTCACTTTCTCATCCAGAGTGTAATCAGCACTGTATGTTATGCCGCGGACATCTCCATGCATTCCTTTAAATATTAAACGTTAAGGTTAAGTCTGTGAATTGGAATGCAGCAATAAAACTTGGAAGACCTTATTTGAGAAGTTTGGTATCATAATTTATTTGAAAGTTGTTTTTTCGGTTTTCCCCTGGTACGTGATGTGTCTCTCTGTGATTTACAACACCCCGCTAGGTGACGCTAGAAATTTTTATCCACCAGGTCCTGCAAATGCTTCAAGCGAGACAAGGTGATGTTTAATTCTATTGTTTGCTAAATTTTTACTTCACGTTGTTTTTGTTCTGCTTATTAATTATTTTAGAATGTGGTTGACTCGGTGATGAGTAATCCGTCCTTCTTAAGTTTGTATATTTTGTATTTATATCTTTACTGAAAAAGGAAAGTTTGACTTTAAAGAATGTTTCCCATTCTGCAAAACTGCTGAATATTCGCACTTTGTTAAACTTGCCTAATATTTCTTTGAGTTTTTCAATTATTTCAAATTTTGGAGAAGCTGGCAAAGTTTTATTAAAATAAATGAAAATCTCGTTTGGTAAACTTTTCTCACGAACTGACTCGGAAAAATTTATGTCTCTTATATACAGATGTATAAATATTAGTGCGTTTATATGTGAAATTGTTTTTACTGTCTACTGCAATCAGCAAACCTGCGATGTGCACAAACTTTTCGATTATTTTAATTTAAAGAAAGTTACATCAAGTGAAAACAGTTTTTAAGTGGTATTGCAAAAGTTTAACTATGAGCACGGTCGTGTGGAACTTCCCTGGGCTGTATATGTGGTATTCCAAATATAGGAGACGTTGAATATGAATGACAGTGAAACAAGATTTGACAAAGTTGTTTTCCAATAATCTTAAATGACCACACAATTTCATCTATAAAACTACAATGAAATTTGAAATAATTTCCACCGCGCGGAAGGTAGGGAATTTCCTCCCTAACTTATTAAAAATATCATCAAAATCGTTAATTTAATGCGTAATCTGAACAACAAATAATATTTTCTATGCGATTCATCAATAGAATATTCTTAATAGCCATATATAAAACACATATTAAAGTTTAAAATTTCATCGTGCGAAAAGTAGGGAATTTTCGCCCAAATTTATAAAAAAATTTTGATAAAATCGTCAATTTAATTGAATATTTTATTTTTGATCCGTAGTAAATTTATTTGTTCATTATATTGCTCAACAATATGTTTTTGGTATCTTATACTAATATTGTATATACAGAATAAATCAGAGTTAGTTTGGCAATGCATGTCCTATGTACAAACGTAACTCAATGAATTGTGGGTTTAAACTTTTAATCATTTTACGAGGTGTCACTACGGTTCGTACTGTTTTGAATGGCAGTCTCCCAAAGACATACGGAGCTTGAGGTTCAGTGAAGAACAATAGTTTCCTGTTTGACGCAAACAACTAGAAACGACGTGAATAATAAGATAACATTACATCACTTGGTAGTAGTAGGCAAAATAGGGCAAAGTATGCGCGTGAAATCTTAATCCAAAGTATAAATATTCTGCCAAATTTTTTCTCAACGTGATGTTATGGTGCGTTGCGGCGGTGCTGTTGAGATAGAATGACGGTATTAGACTGAGCTGTTTTTTTTCGGTGGCCTAGATGGTGGAACCGGTCCAAGAATAACCGGTAACGAGAATAGTAGAAAGCCATGAAGAACTTCACTGATTTGGCGAAAAGAAGAAAAATTCGAACTTAAATCAAAGCTATACTGGTAAATGCTGTGCACAGACACTCATGAAAGCAATTAACAGGAAACACACTAATCACGCGTGAACAGGTCTGTAATTAATGTGGCCAAATACGCACTAAATATACGAAGCAGCCTTACTTTTTACGTTACCGGTACCCTCAAAAAACTAGCGAGCTTCCAGTAGCAAATATTTTCAGAATCAACCGTCACGCTTGGCGGATTAAAATTGTGTTCCCATAATTAAAAAGTAATACAGCGCAATTTAGGATGAAATATTAGATCTCATAAGATTCATAGAAAATTTGGGAATAAATAAAAGTAATAACCTTCTGGCAAAAAAATTAATCTTTAACCACTAAAAATTTCAAAAGCAATTGGTCCAGTATTCGAAGAGAAAAGCTATTTTTTTTAATGATAATGATGACGAATAACAAGAACAACAACATAATATTACTAAAAAGTCCATCTTTAACCACTGAAAATTTAAAAGCAATTGGTAAAGTAATCAAAGAGAAATGCGACTTTTTCATAACGTGTCAAAGAACAAGAACAACATAATATTGAAATGATCCGTAGGTCCACTCATGAATAGAATTGTCATTCAATATATATGTAGATTTTGCAGTACCGGTAAAACTTACAGTAAACCTATTTGCTGTTAGTTGAATTTCAGTTACTCATCTTCATGAACCTGAGTCATTATATTTCGATTCTGTCATGCTGCCCCAATGTCCTTCTCTTCTTTACATGTAACTTTATGCTTTTAGAATTATTATCTTGCTAACTACGGCGAGCGGGAAACGGCGATTGCTTAGCTTACACTGCACCAAGCCAGTGAACAAGCCAGTACCGTTATCAGGCCTCAACACCAGTTTCGACTAGACTGCAATTTAGCGAAGAAAAATTTCTTGAGAATTGGCAGAACTAAAGTTCAAATTGAGATCCTACTCGAAAATAAACTGATTCCAATATTGATCGCCAAACGATTTTCTCGTAATTATAAATTGGAATTTTATGTGATGATGAGAGTAGAAGTTGGATATCAAAACTGATTTGGTCCTCAAAAATGCTTCGTGAATTATTTTTTTATAACCCTAATGCTGTGTAATATCCACAAAGGTATATCAAAGTCAACGCAATGGATAATGAGACTTTAATAATGCTATTGTCTGTCGTAAATGAATTCCTTCTTTTGGTTTACTGGTTAAATGCTAGCCACCAATTGGATAAACTATTTATTCCTAATAATTATTATAAAAAAATGTATTCATTTTTTTTCATATGCAGTAGTTATATACTCTGACTGTTTAGAGAATAATTTGGTTAGAATATATATATATATTGATATTCCACTTCCCCTCTCATGATCACATCAGTACCATCCTGCCATTTCTAATCTCCCTCTCCAGCTATGTTGTTTCACCAACATAAAGGGTGTTTTTATCACCTAAGCTTATATGCTAAGTATATATGAATCTTTGATTATTTTAGAAGAAAAGACTACTAGAGATCTCAATTTACATTGTGTAAGGTACGGATTGAAAGGTTGAAAAAGACTATTGACGCCCTAAATAACTAAATAGCCTTTGCGTGATGAAGAGAAGTAGTAAAAAAAGCGATGATAAAGCCAGCTAGCCTACGAAGGTTATTATAGATACGCAGGTAGTTTTGATGCTTACTGTTAAATTGCATATTTGGATGTATTTGTTTAATAACTAATAATTACTATAAAATCAAATATGTTTAAAACAGTTTTTGTAAATGTAGGCTATATTTATTGAAATATATGCTTGTAACCTTTAAAATTCTTTTGAATTTTGTTTTATTTTATAGGGTGTTCATAAAGATTTAACATTTTTAGAATTGCAAGGGGGAATTTATCGATGCCATATTTTATTGTGGCCCTCACAGATGTATTAAATGAAGTAAAAATGATTAAACAATTATTGATTAAAAACAAAAAACAACCAATTAAGATATATTGAGGACTGACATCACAACAAAAGTTGAAAATTGCAAAAGGACTTTATGGACACCCTGTATATATAGGCAACACACTAATATGGTAAGGTAGTAAGCCGAGAATGATTTACATAATAAATATATTTGCAGTGTCAGCGAACGTTCAAAGTTGAATGATGACTTTTCATATATATTAAGTATCAGAATTAGTGGATTTGTTACACAAAAAATCACGAATTGAAGAAATTGTTACGATAAATATATAGGTAATAAGAGTTGCGAATGACGGATTGTTTAGCTATGAAGCTAACAATATCTTCAGATATAATAAAAATTAAAATAAGAAAAAAACGAAATAACAAAGGCGAGTGAATATGCATTAAACAATAAAAAAGGTATTACGTGGTTTCACAAAAAACTCACTTACATAACCAAGTGATTTGAAAATTTCTAGTGACGTTTTGTAAGATTAAGGGAAGTATGTGAACCAAGATGGCGGACACCAGAATGTAGTATAGGTACCAGGTTAGGGTTAGACCTTTTATTTTAGGTACAAATACTACGGGAGTCGCTTGTCTAGTCCACGAACTCGTAACAGAACAAAATATGGCAATTGGAATAAAATTACACATACGGTACACATACTACGTTCCGGTGTCAGCCATCTTGATACGCAAACTTCAGGAGTATCAGATTAACACATATATATATAGGAGAAAAACCATGGCCGACGAAAGATGAGCATTTTGGACATATCATCGAATTACTACGTGACTATCTTTAAGTCAAGTTTCTTCATAATTGAAAATGAGAACACATGCCGTATGATATTAGTATATTTATATCAGCTTTAGAGAAATTGGATAGAGATTGATTATTGAGTCTTGCTGTAAGAATTTTAATAACACCATCCTGATAAAAATATTCTAACTAACAGCTAAGACATTGTTTGTTAGAAATTCACCGAGTGTTTTATGAAGACCAACATTTTTTTCATTTTATAATATGCGAATATATATTGAAGTTTATTAGGCGTTATAAGTTTCGTAAGCTGATTCCCCTTGTGTTTGGATAGTTGTGGCAGAATAAGCTTGTTCGTTTCCGGTAGTTTCTTGCAGCACAGTCGAATATAACGGATTATTGGAAGGAGTTGCTAATTGATTGAAAAACAAATTTAAATGGATATTTATAATATTGGTGTAATGAGCTAATATTGGGTCAATCTTTTTTTTCAAATTTAAGTAATCCAAGATTGAAATGACTCCCAGAAGGGCATTCTCTTCTTGGGGCTTTTCAAAATTGCATATCTCCTGGCCCTATTATCAATAACTCACTAAACTTTTGAATCTATCTAAAATTCATTCTATGTTATTATAAATAAATTGGAGATACAAATTTGATCCCGAACATATTCTGTTGGGTTTACAATATGAGTAAATATTTTTATTTTGAATACACATAAAACTATTTGGTTATATAGGAACGATATTTTTATACAAGAATAATCCTTTTCTGATCAAAACTAATTCTAAGTACCTTTTTCTTGTATAGTCTCGTAATTGTGTTCTTTTTCTTCGGCATTTTCCTCCAGATTCTTTATTTTCATCTTCAATTTGTATATGATCCAGGCTGAGATTACCAGAAAGATCAAAGGAATCAGAAAACCGATCACAAAACTGATGACGTTGAACTTGAACGAATCTTTTCCTAAAACAAACATATTACTCTGATTTCCAGATTATCTTAAATCGCTTTGGGTTTAATAAATATTGATAAGATTGACAAAAATCGTATTCTTCCAAAATGGTCAAATGTTCATCATTTTCAAATCCGAAAAGATAGTGAAAAAGGCTTCCGATAAAATAACACTTGATCCTTAAGCAAACGTTCTGCCTAGATTTTTTTCTCAAAGCTATATTCTCGTAAGATTGCTCGAAGTTTGGACTAAACCGAGTCAATCTTACATTTTCAATATTTTCCTCTTGACCTGAGTCAGCTGTAATCATTGTTTATCCGAACTTAATAGAATCCGACTTTACCCGACTTAGAATTTTTTCAATACATTTTATTGAAATATAGAAAAGTCTCTCTTACCCGCATCGTTTATAGCAGCAGTTTTCAAAGTAATTGAGGGACTTTGTTTGAAGTATATTTGCTCACCAAATGGCGTCGAATATACGACTGAGATGCTAAAGCAAGATAAAATATCTTATTATGGCAAGTTGATTAAGAATAAATACTTTGATACATTTATATATTTAAGAAGAAATTAAGTTAATTAAGATTATTTTAATTTAATTAAGATTAAAAAATCTAATTTTGCATTAGCATATCTCTACTCTTTTCAAGTTTTACTTTCTAAGAGGTATTAATCGCATTTATTGCTGAAACTTCCAATTTAAGCAAGTGTCTGATGAAATAGAAATATAAATATCAACCTGAACATCTCTTTATCTAGTTTCTTATTTCTTCCCGTGAATATAATTTCTTTTCCAGAAGATTGTTTCTTTTGTATCCCTGCCTTTCCGGTATTTATTACGTCACATGTTGTCATTGATTCTTCACCGAGTGTCACATTTATTCGCCTCCCATTCATGCTATAATATTCAATGGGGATTTGAATATGGTCTGTTATACAGAAATTACTATTGCTACTCAAAATATTGGAAACATTAAATATCTATGACGCATAGCAGTACACATATACGAAGAATAGGTGTTCCGAGCGAACGGCATTAATTTGCGTCGCATAAAAAAGACAAATTCTTTTAGTTGGTGGTGATATTTCCGGTATGACTTTTAAACAAAGCGAACGACACATTAAACTTAATCTTGTATTAATGACGCTGTCGTAATATACAACAACCCTAATCTAAAGTTAAAATTCATAAAATGTCTTTTAAGAAAGCACATGATCAAATAAAATAATCATGTAAAATATTTTCAAAAAATGTATTTTTAACCTCGACACAGGTATTGATTTGGCAATGTATATTTCTCCATCCAATGTGTTGTTAATATTTATTATGTCAGTCAAGGAAAGGTCGTCATCATATTCCTTCAAGTTTTTGCGAACAAGTATGAATATGCAACTGTGAAAGATTAAATTCATATCAAGCAGAAGAAAAGTACAATATCTGCTGAAGATGTTCATAGTGTGACATAATACTAATAAAAATTTATCTGAACTTTTGTGATTAGTAAGAAGAGTGATTACATTGGCACATGAGATGCACAATATTTTGATATGTATTATAATATATGAGCATATTTTACAATGCATTTGCTTTTAACCTACCTGACAAGACCATTAGTCTCATCTGGTGCAGGTATTCCCAGTCTCTTGATTCCACATGCGCTAACTAGGTTATCTTCATAACTTTCAGGCGGAAAAACATTTGTAGGAACTAATAAATGAGACAATGAATAGGCAAATTCGCTGTAAAAAACATGTCTACGATATAAATGCTTTTTTGTTGTTGATGTTGTGCATCACACCTTTGCCTTGAACAGGCTTCGGAAAAGGTGTCTAATAATCGGTATTAGGTTTCGAAAATTCATATATTTCTTGTACGTAATTTAGCTCATATTGTTGAAGACAGGGGCTATTGCAAAAAACGATTCTTCTAATCCACATTCGCAAGAAAATTAAAATGAAGGAACAACTCATAGTTGCAACAAGTCCTAACTGAATATCAGCAATTACAAGAGCCACAAAAACATAGTTTGACCATTTCGAAATTGATTAGATTACTGATTAAAACTTTAGTTAGGAAATAATGAATTTTAATTATACCTGAAGGATTTCCAAGACAAGTACCAGTAACAGCTACAGTTTGACCAAATCCAGCACAATTAAATATTTTCATCGAAGCAGAATAGTTACGATTTGGTTCTGGTTGAAATGAATACACGGATGATGACGTCACGTTTATTAATTCCAGATATGTTATGAAATTTAATTCTCGTGATGAAACCGGTGTTGACGTTAAATTCAGTTCCTATAAATTAACAGTTAAAATAGTTTTCACGAAAAATACTCAAGATTTTGTGTTAATTGCGAATGAAATTTTCAAACGAGAAACAACCTAAAAATTTTTTGACATACAAGATGCTGAAGATATCGCAAACCAAAACTCTGAGCCAATTTGAATACGTATATGAAGTATTATTAAAACACTATCTGCCATTTATTTCAATAGAATGAGTCAATGAGTGAATGAACAGGTGAACTTCATGACCCTGTGTGCACATCATATGACACGCTTAATATCCAAATTCAATTTATACATTGTTATTAAAACACAAGCGTTTTGATTAATCAGTTTCTACATTTTAAATATGGATTTACCATGATGTATGAATCACCAGTCTCTGTCTTGTCATATAATATCCAAGAGATGACGCAAGTTTGCGTATTCTTGTATTGTATAATAGACGAAGATTCAGCAGAAAACGTTGCCCCGCCTGTTGTTGCACTTTGGGTGGTAGAATATTTGGCTGGACACTTATCTTTTGTTACACATGCACTTATCTGACAAAAACAATAATATAAACATTATAATGAGGCATCCATCGTACAAGTGGAACTTGTCAATTAGAACAGACTTGTCAATTAGCTTAAAACGTATAGCTTAGAACTCTGAGGGAAGATCCCTCTGCCCAATTGGAGCCGACGAAAAAATACTGAAAAAGGGTTGTTCACGATAATGAATTATTATTGCTTACTTTGATTGCATAGGTTGTGGTAGCCGACAAACTGATTATTGTTAAAGACTGTTTCTCAGATGTTGGTGAATTCACCCATCTTTTTGGTCCACCTGAGGTAGGACTTACTTCTATTCTGCAAATGAAACATATGTGAGATTACATTTACACTATTAATTGGAACCGTTAAGCAATATTTTTCATTATAATTTCAGCATTGATAATCTTGGTGGAATTTTTGTAACTGTGTATGAAAACCAAGTCGACACCGATATATTTGAGAAAATGTGTTTGCACTCTGTATAACATTTTCCATCATTGGTTGTTACTTCCCCAATGGGCGCTTACCAATAAGTCTAATAAATTTAACAGCGTAAATCGATCTGCTTCAAAAGTTTTTTTTAAATGAAACTACAACAGTGTTATAAATGACTTGTTATTGTTGATAAAGTGGCCCGTTTGTAATTAAATATCGCACATAAATAAGATCTCGTAATCAATGAATAAATAGTCTAAATACAAACTCACTTATGCGGAAATCCGACAGCATTTTTATGTGGTTGCCATGAGATGATCAAGTTAGTGTTGCAGATGTTATTCGATATTTCATTGATCGTTGGATTTCCATCCACTGACAAAGTAAATAACAAAATTAGCAAACATAACAGAGTTTACAAAGTTAAGCAGAGATTGTTATTAATATTGACCTTCATAAAATTCAATTGTTGTATTCTCGGTTTTTCCAATTTGGTAACGACAAATATAGTCTCCCGCATCTGCAATGTTCGCATTTTGAAGCTTCAATGTTGCTGATCCAGTTTGTATCGTTTGATAAACTCTACTTGTAGTTGCGGTAGATACTTTGTCAGATGTTTTGTACCATTCAACTTGTGTTGCAGTGCTGCAGTTTGTTGATGTACACATTCTCTGGTTTTCGTTTGGGATTAGTATTTCAATTGAAGGGCCTTGAAATTCTGTCAAAGAATGTGCAAACTTTAAGAAATATATGACATTAGACAGTTCACGAAAGGCTTGGTTAGTTACATTTATCCATGTGATCGAGAACTCTAGACATTGAAACAACGAGAGTATAATCTTACAACAACACACAATTGATTTTTTAATGAATGGGTGTTTCTATAACTGAATTGATTAAATTTTTTTAACCCTCATTTGAGCAAGCTAGGAAAACGAGGCTATTTAAACGTCATCAGATAAATTTATCGCATGTTTATAGTTGAATAAATCGTAGAAATGGCGACTTAGAAAATGTGTTATACCATAGTACACCACATGGTTATTTAAGGAGTATTCTTGTTTAAATGAGCAGGAACGAATAGGAAAAAACAATTATACCTTTCTGACAAATGTAGTAAAATTTTTCATAACAGGATACATCAACCCATCGGTACGTTTCTCTTCCAACTGTCAAACAGTTTTCAGATCTTTCACCATTTGGCTGATTTGATTTCCTGGTAAATTTAGATGTCGTAATTATTAAATCTGAAAAATATGTGGTTCACAATGAATGGCTACCAAATTATTTTCCAAACAGTCAGAGTGTACAAATACTGGAAATGAAATTATGAAGTAAATTTTAGCATGGAATAGTTTATCCAACTACTACAACCCAAAGGAGGTGGATAGCATTTTATCAGTAAAAAGAAATGTTGAAGATATTGAATACAACATACACGACATACAAGTTTACACTACTAAGTTTCTCGTTGCAGGCATTATGTTTTTATTTTTTGGAATTTTTCTAATTAAAGTTGAATAAATAAAGTAATAATCAAACCAGTTTTGATATCCAGATTGCTCTTTCATGGTCACATTAGTACCATCTTGCCATTTCCAATCTCCTTCGCTAACTATGTCGTTTCCACCGATGTAAAAGGTGTATTCCGAGGAGGGTTTTCTGAGAATTAAAATTTTTTCCCAGTTTTATAAAAAAATCAGGTTCCCCCTTAAATGATTAGAGAGCTCACCGATAAATAAGGTAAAAGTGAACACTGAGCCCTAATTTATGAATAATTTAGTTCATCCATCATCCATAAAGGAAGATGAATTAAAAACAAAATATAAAGTGAAGAATAAATACCTTAAAAATTGGAACTTTATATTGAAGTTCCATAAAACATAAAGAAAATGAACAGCCCTAGCTTGGTGTAACAACGTCGACAAAGTGGCATTAATATTCATCAATAATGTCAGGAAACTTTTGAGCAATAACTCGAGGTATATGTCACCGAAATATGTGAGTGTTCAACTCGAGGTCTGCGGTTCAGTTTTTTGTCATCTCTGATCTACATTGATTCATGCACGAATATACTTATCATGTTCTCCATGTTAATAAATTCGATGTAAGTTATATCACTACCAAGATTTACCCTGTAACGCCTAGGCTGAATACTAGTTGGTGCTTTGTTTGTATTTAATTTTTTTCGATA